TATCCATAGCTTGGTGTGTGTTACAGACATCTGCCATGGCCCACTTGAAAAGAAAAAAAAAAAAGAAATCATAAATCCCAAACCCAGAGCCGAGCCCGTGGGTTTTCATTCCCATCGTTTTCATGCCAAGGAGCACAGCGCTCCCCGGCAGGGCCGGGCTAACACGATTAGCCAGGCAGATCCACCACCCGCATCCGTCACCCCCAACGCTTGGGCAACTTTGAAAAGTTCAGCAGCTCGACAGGTGAGGCCATGAAACCCGAGCAGGGCAGACAATGTCGTCCCCCCCCCCAGCGTCGTGCTGGGAAGAACTTGTCACGTGCGTCATATCGGGCAACATGCTTGAAACAGAGCAGTGCACTGAAACCCCAGCAACACGAATAATCTTTGCCATCTGTTTGAACAACTCAACCCTCCTCAGATCTGAAGGAATGATCCCATGCAAACACAAGGGCCTTGCTGACTGATTTTAGCAGCCCAGCCCTTCTTTTTTGGGGCCATTTTCTTCCTGACGTCGCCCAGCGGTTGAGACGCATCGTGGGGAGCCATTCAGTGGCCAAGGGGGCACTGAGTTCTGTGTAGGTTTGGAGGGGACCACTAAAAGTCCCCACTCGCTTAAGCACAACACAGTGCAAGGCCAATAGTTGATTTTTATTTTTTTTTTTTTTTTTTACATCAAGAAAACAAAAATCTCAAAGGCGAAGTTGTTCGGCAAAACCATCCCAGAGAACGCAACTGTCCTTTAGGACACGCTCGTTCCAGCCCAGCGCAGCTCACGGGAATGCACTGGAGGAACTGGTCTTTGCTCAGATGCTGTCATTTGCACCCAAAGTCCAGCTGGGAGAAACAGGGCTGTTCCCAAACTTCCTGGGGCCAGCTAAGCTTGTGACACTCAGCGGAAACCAACACGTTGAGTTTTGCAAGCACCCGGCTGTGCCCGCGCTCCGGGTCCGTGTCCCGCCGGGAAGCGAAGTGGCAGTGGCAATTAAACAGCAGGGATTAAACCCTCCCCAAAGTTGAGATTATAGAGACTGACCAAACACTAGGGCCAAACCCTGCCTTGCTCAAGATTTAGCACAGCAAGGCTTTCACCCTCAATTTTAACCATCATTTCCTGACTCTTCCCTTGCTCACGGCCTGGCCCCTTGCGAGCAGCAGCTCACACTACTACACTGTCCTTGGGGAAAAAAGGGAGGTTCCCAGGGAAAAGTAAAAAATAAGGAAGTTTCTTCTGATTCAGGAGGTGCTGTGAAGCAGCTCTTTGCACATTAAGGTCCCCAGTGTCATTTAGGTGATTTGGAAGCCTGAGAAAGGCACGTTTGAAGCAGTTTATCGCACACCACCAGACCTCGGGGCCTGATCCTGCTGACCCAAACCACCCAGTCTCACTAAGGAGAATGAACTAAGGCAACTTAGCAAGAGCAGAAAGACAAAGCACCAGTACTTTAAGAATTTTCCATGGAAAAAAAAAAGAAGGAAAAAGGAAAAGAGGTCTCCTTGCTGCACTGCTAGAGGCAGAGGAGCTCGGTCTAGCCGTGGTGTCGTGGTTACAGCCCGCACAGCCACGGCACAGGGGTTCCAGCAGAGAGCTACAGACTCGAAATATAAATCAGTGATGGTGAGTAGGGCTGGGAACGCCCAGCCCAAGGCAGGAGAGACTGGGTATTACAGCCCACTAGGCTGAAATTAATAATAAAAAAAGAAAAATCACCAAGCGTGTAACACGAGTGACACGATCTCTTTCTTACATTAGTTACAGGACAACAGGCTTTCAGGTCCCAAGGACATTTCAAACTGCATCACTGTTGAATGAATTAAAGAAAATAATAAAAGAAATTCAACAATTGATTTTCTAGGCTTGCAAGAAACATTTTTTCTCCCCCACCAACCCCTACAGTAAACCCAAAAGAGAACAACGACGTCCCCACAGGCTGCTCAGCCGGGCAGTCAGACACATAGCTCAGAATCCCTTACTGCTCCAAAGAGGGAACTTCTCTACTGTCCAAAAATTCCAGACGCTGCTTAAAATTTATTTGCAATGTGGCTGGATCCCGTTTCTCCTCTGTCATGGTACATATTTTCACTTGAGGCAGTTAAAACATTACTGGGTGCAAACTCCACAGTGTGCGGACAGAAGTTATTTTCACTAAATTTTAGTTATCTCACTATTGAAAAGAACAATGTAATTTTCCCCCTCTTTTCCCTCTGCTTTTCAGGAATGGATGGTCAGCACCACTTCATGCTGTTTTGCCTTCCACACAAAGGAAATAAACCAACAGATTTCATTTCACTTGACAGAAAATGGAGCAAGGAAAAACTTTGCGTTCCCGCCTCCAGAAGTTATTTTCTATAGATGAAAACTTGAGACAGAGATCAGTGGTTAACACAAACATGATTAATTGCAAATATTCCCAAAAATAAGAATTCATCAAGCTAAATAAGCAAATTGTGATGCCTTATGCATCTTGGGAATCTGAAAAAGCAGATTTTGGATGGCAGGAACAACTTAAATAAACAAACAAAAACTCCTAATGGATATGATCAAATTTAGCCAGTTGACTAAAATACACTTTTAATGAGATGGGGGTCAAAAACTGGTCAAAAATCTTTATAATTTCAAAGGCAGGCAATTGGATTTACACTGAACACACAGGGTGCTGAGGACACAGTGACTCCCCCAGTTCCAAAGTTCAGTTGATTTGTGCAAAAGTATCTGAAAAACAGAGGCGAGGCTTGCCCAGCTCACTGTGGGACACTGGCACCACCGAAATTCTATGGCACCTTTAATACAATTTTATTGGGCCATCAACAAGAAAATACAAACACATCTCCTTATTGACATTAAGATAATAAATAAAAGCCTCATTAGGGCTGGGAGAAATAAGCGTGTTCTTGAGGAGGGCTGAGAAGCCACGAAGCCACTGAATTCAGTGGGAGTTCGGAGTTACTACTAGACAGGAACTGATTTTTAAATGCCAAAATTTATAGGAACAAACTCCTGCATCTAATTCTAATTGAGTTAGAAATAATGCACAATATATAACAACTTTGTTGTTTTCATCCTCCCCCGTGTATTTTGCGTTGTTTAGTCCCCCCTGATCGACCCTGGTCCCTGTCCCAGAGACAGCCAGACATGCTGCCGTCCTGGGGTGAATCACACTCCAGTGATTTCAAGACTTTCAGCATCACTTGCACTGGCTGCTTGGGAATATCATCATTTAGATCCCAAGATTTGCTGTATTTCAGCTAAAACAGCAAAAATGCTATCGAGAAACTGCAATGTGTTTGCAGGGATAGGGCCCACTCCGCTTAAAATTCAGCGGCTGAGAAGAGGAAACTTTAAGAAGTTAAAACAACTTTGATACCTGTTGTCCAAATTTAAAAATAATGTGTATCCTTTAAATATTGACTTTTGCCCACTGCCTCTGGGATAACAGATGAATGTGATCATAAGCATTATTCTCTCCTTCTCCCCTTCCACCTCTTACTTGTAAAAGATTAATCAACCATTTTATGGTCTAATTTAGGTGCCTAATTAAAAACAGAGTTCAACACGTACAACACCATTTTGCTAATAAATCCTGACAGGTCTTCTGGTCTGTTATATGCAAGTTCTCCTTCAAAACGCGAGATTATCACTTTTTTAAACCCAACTGGATTTATAAGGGTTTCATCTGGGTCGCTGTGGGACCACGCGCTGCATCCTCCACCAAACTGACAGAATTTCCTAAAACGAAAACAGCTTTCAAAAATGACTTCCTCCTCGCCAGATCTTATCCTGCACTCATTTCACTAACTGCTGAGGGATGGCAACATTGAAAAAAGAGACATAAAGCTAATCGGACTTGCCGGGTGGGAGTTTCAAGACTACAAAGAGGTTACAATTCGCAACTTCACAGCTCCCATCTGGCTTCAAAGTTTCCATCTCTGCTCCTTTAGCATTCCTGTAAACACTCAGTAGAAAGACATATTCAAAATATTCCCGATAAAGGAACTTCAATCGGAAAGGGGATGAAAAGACACCGAAAGGCGGCTCGTCCCGCGCTCCGTGTCCGACAGCGCTTCTCCTCCGCACCCGCCGCCTCCCGCTCCGCCGGGCCCATCCGCACACGGACACCCCGCACGGGGCTGCTCCTCGCCAAACCACTTGGAACGGCGTCCATCCTTGCAGGATGCGAGCCAGGAATTTATAATTTTGTCCCAGTCCAAAGGGTTCGTCCCGTCCCCGACGCGCCCGTTCCCCCCCGCAGCCGCAGCCCCGCGCCGGGCGGGCGATCGCGACCCCGGGCGATCGATCCAGAGATGATTGCGGGGTAGGAGAAAGTTAACGGAGACGGAGCGCGGGGAGGGAGCGAGGAAGTTTTATCTGGAACGCGGAGCTGCCGCCTGCCAGTCCCGGCTGCTTCTGCGCTCCCGGGACGGGTCAAAAACCCTCCAAACGCCTTAAAAAAATCCCCAAGCGTGTCAATGCCCTCCAAACTGGTAAAAGAAAACCCCAAAACAACAAAAATAAAATAAAAAAAACCCAAACAGGTCAACCTCCATCCCAACGGGTAAAAAAAACCCCAAACGGGTCAACCCCCCCCAAATCTGCGGTCGCCCTCTGGCCCGTGCCTGCGCGGGGGACACATCACTCATCCCTCAGCAACACCCCGAGCTGGAAGAAAAATAACCGCTCCAGCAAAAGCCCCCGGCAGCACAGCGGAATAAGAGCGTTTAAGAATATTAAATTGATATTTAACCTTCATATAAGAATCAAACACGGTTTGGATCGCTTCAAGCCCGCCGCCGCCTGGGCTAACGGGGAGCGCAAGCTGCGCGCTGGGTTGATTATATTTTTGAGGGGTTGATTATATTTTTGAGGGGTTGTTTTTTTCTGGGGGTGGTGGGCATTGAGCGGACTCGGCCCCGGGCGCTCCCCGAGCCGCTCCGGAGCCCGCACTCCCGCACCGGGGCGGCCAGGGCGGGACAGGGGGACCCCCCGCACCCCCGTCCCGTACCTGTACCAGGCGAGTCCCCGCTCGTAGTTGCGGTCGAAGAAGTGGGGCTCCGCGCCCACGGCGCGCACGTCGGGGTGCACCCGCAGGAACTCCAGCAGCGCCCGTGTCCCCCCTTTCTTGACGCCGATGATGATGGCCTGCGGCAGCCGCTTGGTGCCGGAGCCGTTGAAGAAGCTGGAGATGGGGCTGGCGGCGTCGGGCGCTGCCCGCTGCTCCTCCAGGCTGCTCTCCTCGCCCGGCTCCCCCGGCGGGGCGGCGCGGGGCGGCGCGGGAGAGCCGCGGGCCGCCAGCCCGGCGCAGGAGCCGGCGCACGAGTAGAACATGTAGAGCCAGAGGAAGAGCATGATGAAGAGCAGCAGCAGCCTCCGCCTCAGCGGCGGCAGCGCGACGGGGACATCGAGGCAGCGGTTCAGGCGCTGCCCCATGTGCCCGCGGGCGCGCCGGGATGCATGGCTGGAGCCCGGCCGGCTCGGCTCGGCTCTGCCCGGCGCCTCATGGGCACCCGCGGGGGCTCAGCACGGCCCCATCGGTCTCTCGCCGTGTGCCCGGCGCTGCCGCCCGCCCAGCGCCGCTCCCGCCGCCGGCAGCGCAGCAAAGGCAGCGGCGGGGCGGGACACGGCGGCGGGGACGGGCGGAGCCCGCAGCCTATCACAGACACACGCCGGTGCATAATGAGACGGGGAGGGGAGAAGCGGGAGGAGGGATGAACTCATTGGTTGATGGCGCGGGGAGGGATCGCACCGTCGGGGCGGTTCGCTCGCCCGCCGCCGTCCCGGAGCTGCCACTGGGTCCGCACGGGGTGAATCCCGCCGAGGGCTGTGTGCTGTACATTCCCCGCTCTCTGTCCCCCCAGGGCTGCAGGGAATCGCCAGCTGGGGCGTCACGGTGTTGGCGGCAACTCAGTCACTTTTTCCTCCTCCTTATTCCCAATATACTGGGATAATAAGGTCGCCGGGGAGACCCTGTTGCCGCCTTTCAGCACCTAAGGGAAGTGGGGGAAAACTTCTTGGCAGAGACAAGGGATAATATTTTTAAACTGACAGAGGGCAGAATAGACATCAGGAAGAAATTTTTTACAATGAGGTGCTCGAACATTGCCCAGAGAAGCTGTGGATGCCCTGGAAGTTTTCAGAGCCAGGCTGGAAAGGGCACGGAGTAACCTGGTTTTGTTGAAGGTGTCCCTGCCCACGGCAGGGATTGCCATTGATGGCATTTGAGGTCCCTCCCAACCCGAACCATTCTGTGATTCAGTGTTTTACCCACTCTTTTGATGAGTTGCTTTTTCAAGGAGGAGAAATAAAGATTGAGGGGAAATAAAGGAAAATAAGATAAATAAGACCCTGAGAAGTGTATGACTTCTCTAAAAGCTGCTCAGTGGGTTAACACAGAGCTTGGGCCACCAGCTCTGGTGTCACTGGCCCCAGTCCTTCCCAGGACCAGGTATTTGCGAAGCAGATTTTGGGATGACGCAAGGAGAACTTTTGTACTTCAGCTGCAGAGTCAACAGCAAACAGTTCCAAAGAATCCCTCTGCTGTGAGAGAAAATAGACAGCACTGCTGGGCTCTCTGTGGTGTGAAGGGTGATCCCAACCAAGCAGAGCCGAAGTGCAGGGACAGGAGGAATTGCTTCCCAGTTTCCCTGTGTGTGCTGGCAGAGCTGTGCCAGCTGGCCCAGACGGGTAATTGTGAAGGGAATTAAAGAGGACAGTTCCAGGCAATGCATGAATCACAGCTGTGGGCAGCAACCCTTCCACGGGTGACACAGGCTGCCTCTCCTGCCCCCAGGTTTCTTCACCTCTGCACTCAATGTTTTGTGCAATTCCAAACACAAAACCTGCAGCTTCCACGCACAGGTTGCTCCACTGCACATTCCTACGCCTATGAACTAAGAGGGAAACCCTTCAGATGGAATAATTCCCCTTGTTCCTTACATCCACCAGCACCAGCCAGGGTAACATCAACAAAATGTCACGGAAAGTTTGGTTTAAGCCTTTAATATATGTCAGCTGTAGCTTGTAAAAGTTGGATTGGCTTTTTAAGAAAAATAGCCCCAAGATAGGTTTTACTGTAATTGTATCTTCAACAGTTGGACGTCAGGAGTTTTTTCCCCAGGAATGGCAAGTCAGTGATCAGAAACAGCATCCAAGGAAAGGTAGATCAGGAGGAGGGCTGAGCTCACCCTGGAGCAGGGGGGGTGGGTGAGGGAGGTTTTGACAAGCAGGTTGGGAAACAGTTGTGGTTCCATCCTCCAGACTGACCCACTGCCTCCAGGGGGAACCCACAGGCTGCTGGGCAGGGCACAGGTCTCCTCTGTATCTACTGCCACATTGAGAGAGGGCTCCAGCCAGGCCCAGCACCTACTCTTGGCTCCCAAAATTCATTTAACATCCCACATCAGCAGCTGTGGCAGGAGAACGTGTGCACAAACCTCCTGAAGAAACAGGGTTAGAAGGGAAGGGGAACAGAAATGCACAGCTGGGTTTGCTCTGTGCCCTGCAATCATAAGAGTGGCTGTCCTGCTGGTTGGCTGGTTAATCAATAACTAATTGAGCTGCATCGGTACAGTCTCCAGATCCTATTTCTTGATGACTGATTGATTGATTGATTACACAGACAGCACTGGGAAAGGGCAGCTCCTGACCAAGGGGTCATGGTGGCACTTAGTGGAGCACTGCTGAGGTGGGCCTGGAGGGTGCTCAGCTCTGCAAAACACACTTGTTCCATCAGGGCAGAAAGCAGAGAACCCAGAACACCTTCAGTCAGAGAAGATGGTTGCCAGAGAAGCTGTGGCTGCCCCATCCCTGCAAGTGTCCAAGACTGGGTTGGATGAGACTTGCAGCAACCTGGGACAGTGGAAGGTGTCCCTGCCCATGGCAGGGGTTGGGATGAGATGAGCTTTGAGGTCCCTTCCAACCCAAACCATTCCGTGATTCTGTGATCAAATCCCCAGCAAGACAGAGGAAGGGGCAGCTCTGTGGCCTCACCTCACCTCACCAAAACCCACCCTTGCAGCCATGTGCTTTCCAGCATTTTTTGGAGTCGGACACGAGGCAGGAATTCCCAGTGCTGATCCTGTCCTGCTGGCCTGATGCTGAGTTCTACCTGGTTGCTTTTTCTCTTCCCAGCTAGAAAATCCAAATGTTTGAAGGACAAAGACTTCACACACAACTCTTTAAAGATCTGCAGGAACCTGTCCTGCTGGGGTGACAAACAGGAGCAAGTACCCAAAAATCAAGCCAGGGTGCTGTTGGTCCCAATCCAGACAGGATGCAGTTTTCTTACCATGGTCATAGCTGTGTTTGAAGAAAACTAATGTGCCATTTCATGGTGTTAATCAAGTGGTTGATCATGGGAAAAGGAAGCAATCTGGAGTGTGTAACCCTGCAGTGACCTGGTCAGAGAGGAGGTGACCAGCCAACACCACCTCTTTTTGGGGAACATACAGCACCCAGCACACTGAGATGTAGGGCTTTGGTGTGGGGCTTCTGGAGGTTTTCACGTGTCCTCTTCCATCCACATGTGTCTATAATGGGGTTTTGTCCTTATTGCAGCACCCTGAGATGTTCCTCAGTCATGAGTCCATGTCCCAGCCCTTGCCCCCTTGCAGGGTCCCATGGAGAGAGGTCCTGCACTTCTTTATTCCACTTCTTCTCCCCTAAGAAGTCTGTGGTGCTGACCCCTCCCCTCCTCTCTGCCATGAATGCCCTTTGCAGTGCACCCCGTGCTATTCCAGAGCAGAGGGGAGCTGAGGATTGCTGATGGATAAATCTGGTGTGTCTGTCAGCAGCCTCCTCTCCATCCCTGCCCACATCTGCTCATATTGATGCCACAACAGTGAGGTGAGAGCTGGGGGGGAAAGGGCCCAGGGCATTTGGGACTTTGTCCTGAAAAACACATGTATGTTAGACCACGGGGGCACAGCTTGCAGGGAGTGTTCTGTGGGTCAGGGCTGCTGGACCAGCAGCCAGTGACCATCCCAAATAGTGGGGCTGGGCCACCCCAGGGGTGACAGGCCCTGGGACTCAAAACAGCTCAGCCACGGGCAAGACAAGTGCCCAGGGCTTTATGCAACCCCTTTGCACCCAAGCCCAAGTGCCACATACACTGCCCAAGAGCCTTCAAGAGGCTCTGTAACCCCACCAGCACCCAGGGACACCCCAGGGTCACCCCAGGCACGTCCCAGGGACGTCATTGCCTCCTGCAGTGTCCTGGTGCTGTGTCCCAGGCGTGCTCCCTCCGGGGCCCTGGGCAGCACCACTGTGCAGATGTAAGAGGAGATCTTGTTTCTCTCAACCTGAAACCATTTCCTTTCCCCCACTGCCCTCCCTCCCCTCGCTCCCTAATTCGTCCCTGGGGTTTTAATATCTATTTCTCCAAGTGCCACGGGCCAAATTTACTGCTCACATAACTGCCCCGACTTCAATGGAGAAGAGCGCTTAGGGTGCTCGGAGGAGGCGTAAGTAGGAGTGATGTGATGGAATTGAGTAAAGGAAAATATAGTCTGACTGTCAAGAAGAGTTTCCTACCAGTGAAATCTATAGACTGTGGAAGTTTCCCATGGGAACAAGCAGAAACCAAGTTGCTGAAGTCATTTTAAACCAGCACAAGAGAATAGGAAATCAGGCCAGTGACTGGCCAGAAGGAAAGGAGAGATGACATAATGCTACTTCTCCTTCTCTAATTTCTGTGGCTGCATTGCTTTGTCCGTGGAATTATTTTAACGCAACTGGATTCCTCCTTGTGTTCTGGGTGACGTGAAGGCTCTTGCTGCTTCTGGAGAGGTTTCAACTCCTCTGCTAAATTCTGTCCTGGATTAAAGCAATACCCACTGCAGCCCCTGTTGACCCTTCTCTTATTCCTGCTGCTTGCAAACCTCTTCTGGGATCTTGTCAGGCTTCTTCCCTGACTTACCTGAGCCTCTGGATCCAGTTCTCTATTTATTGAGCTGTACAGAATGAACCAACCCCTGGGAATAGTGTCAGGGCTCCCCAGGCCAACAATGCCATGTGGGGCTGTGGAAGGTACCAGACACAGAGCTGTTACCCTGGAGAGAGCCCAGGGATGGACATCTCCCTGCTTTCGGGGATCCTTCAGGTAGATTCCTGCTAAGTCACCTGCTGGAAAATCACAAAGGAATGATTTTCATCATTATATATTTCCATCCTTCAGGTAGATTCCTGCTAAGTCACCTGCTGGAAAATCACAAAGGAATGATTTTCATCATTATATATTTCCATCATTATATATTTCCATCATAAAGGAATGATTTTCATCAAGGCCCACAGGGAACCGCTGCTTTCCCTGGTGACTCCTGCCTCTGGTGACTCCTGCCTGCCCTGTTTGGGCTCTGTGGATGACACCAGGGCTGCAGATGCAGTGGCCATGCCCTGCTACCACCCGATGGCTTTGGCAACCTCTTGCCCATGGAACTTCCTAATGTATTTTCA